ATGATGTACCCCCAACATGGGTGCCCTGTACCCTAATCCGTACATTTGTACCCTAACATGGTACCTTGTACCTAAATACCAGTATCACTGATGTACCCTAACATGGTGCCTTAGACCCTAATACCCAGTATCACTGATGTACCCCCAACTGGTGCCCTAGTACCCTAATCCAGTACGCTGATGTACCCTAAATGGTGCCCTAGTACCCTAAAACCAGTATCACTGATGTACCCTAACATGGTGCCTTAGTACCCTAATACCAGTATCACTTTATGTACCCCCAACATGGTGCCCTAGTACCCTAATACCGTTTTCCCTGATGTATCCTAACATGGTTTCCCCAGTACCCTAAAAACCGTATCCCCTGGTACCCTTTAAAATGGTTTCCTTTTTTTCCCCAAAAACCCGACCCCTTTAAAGTACCCCACATGGTGCCCTTTGTACCCTTTAAAACCCGTATCGGTTTTACCCTAAAAAGGTACCTTAGTACCCTAATACCGTTCCTTTTTTTGTCCCAACTTTGTGCCTTAGTACCCTTAAAAACAGTATCACTGATGTTCCCCAAAAAGGTACCCCAATACCAGTTTCCTTTAATGTACCCCAAAAATTGGGCCTTAGTTTCCCCAATACCCCGTTCCCCCTGATTTAAAACCCAAAAATGGAACCTTAGTTTTCCCTAAAAACCAGTACCCTTTATGTTAAACCCCCAAATTTGTGGGCCCTTTGTAAAAAAATACCCGTACCCTGATGTACCCTAACTTGGGGCCCCCAGTTCCCTAATAAATTTTTTCACTTGGAAAGTACCCTAACATGGGTGCCTTAGTTCTCTTTTTACCATTATCATTGATGGCCCTAACAAAGGTGCCTAGGACCCTAATACCAGTATCACTGATGACCCCAAAATGGTGCCCTGTACCCTTTAAAACCAGTATCATGATTTTACCCTTTCATGGTTTCCTTAGTACCCTAATACCAGAAACCTGATGTACCCTAACTGGGCCCTAGTACCCTAATTAAAAAGTTTCACTGTTTTTAAACCCCCAAAATGGTGCCTTTAGTTCCCTAATACCAGTATCAATGATGTACCCCCCAACATGGGGCCCCAGTAACCCAAAAACCCGTACCCTGGGTACCCTAACAGGGGGGCCTTAGCCCCTTTAAAACCAGTACCATTAATGTACCCTAACATGGTGCCTTAGTACCCTAATACCAGTATCACTGATGTACCCTAACATGGTGCCCTAGTACCCTAATACCAGTACCACTGATGTACCCTAACATGGTGCCTTAGTACCCTAATACCAGTATCACTGATATACCCTAACATGGTGCCTTAGCACCCTAATACCAGTACCACTGATGTACCCTATTATGGTGCCCTAGTACCCTAATACCAGTACCACTTGGAATACTCTAACGTGGTGCGCTAGTACCCTAATACCACCGACGTACCCTAACCTGGTCCCCTAATACCAATACCACCGACGTACCTTAACATGGTCCCTAGTACCGTAATACCACTGACGTACCCTAACATGGTGCCCTAGTACCATAATACCACTGATGTACCCTAATACCAGTACCAATGATGTACCCTGACATGGTGCCCTATTACCCTAATACCACTGACGTAACCTAACATGGTGCCCAAGTACCCTAATACCACTGATGTACCCTAACATGGTGCCCTAGTACCCTAATACCACTGACGTACCCTAACATGGTACCCTAATAATAACAATACCCTAACGCTGTGTTTCTTCGACAGGGTACCCCCACAACAGTCTGGGTATGACCAAGTCTTCCCTGGATGCCCACAGTCCTCACCTAAGACAACCAGGTATGTCACCCATTGCTTTTCTCACCCTCAACCCCCATTTTCTTATAACCCATTTTCTATTTTACATCCCATTTTCTCTCGGACATCCTATTTTCTGTCTTACATCCCATTTTCTATCTTACATCTCATTTTCTGTTTCACATTTCATTTTCTCTCTTACATCCCATTTTCTATCTTAAGTCCCATTTTCTATCTTACGTCCCATTTTCTATCTTATATCCCATTTTCCGTCTTACATCCCATTTTCTATCTTACATCCCATTTTCCCTCTTACATCCCATTTTTTTTCTTCTCCCTCATTATTTTTCCCTCTCTTCTTTCTCTCTCTTCCTCTACATCTTATCACTTACTCAAAGGATTTTCTCTTCCTGTTTTTCTCTCTCTCTTTCCTTTTTCTTTATACCCTCATTTCCTATCTTCCTTGTTTAACAACCTCCTCTCATCTCCTATTTTCTCTAATTGCTATCTCCATTATTACGTACTTTTGTAAGTATTTATGTGTATTAATATTAACGTACGTTCCTGTGATAGTCTTCAATCCCATTTAATATATATATATATATATATATATATATATATATATATATATATATATATATATATATATATATATATATATATATATATTTTATGTAATATATAAAACGTCAAATTAGCAAGAATCAGAAAATTAAGTCTTTCTGAAATTTCTCTTATACGTTAAGCGATTAATTTTTTTTTTAATTTTTATTAAAATGTTTTTTTTGCAAATAATTTAGAAATTACTACCTTTTATCTGTAATTTATTGCAACCCAATAAATATATATTTAATTTTTATAATATATAAGTAAAAATATTTTTATTTATATATTTTAAATTTTATAAAATTATATGTCCTATATAAATATGACTATATACCAGATAATTCTGCCTATTACGAACAAATATTATATTATATTTTAAAATATATATATATATATATATATATATATATATATTTATATATATATATATAAAACACTCACGAGAGAAAATGTTGAGGGTAATTCAAGGCCCCTTACCCACTAGGGAAAGGGCCAGCACCCTTTGCCCACAAAGGGGGAGTGATCAAGTGGTCCAGAGAGGAAAATGACCACAAGATATCAGTTACTGACAACAACACACACAACACACACACACACACACACACACACACACACACACACACCACACACACACACACACTCACACAGACCTCACTCAGGGAGAAAGACCTTGGGGTGACCATAACACCGAGCACATCACCGGAGGCACACATCAACCAAATAACCGCTGCAGCATACGGGCGCCTGGCAAACCTGGAATGCGTTCCGATACCTTAATAAGGAATCGTTCAAGACACTGTACACTGTGTATGTTAGGCCATACTGGAGTATGCAGCACCAGTCTGGAACCCACACCTGGTCAAGCACGTCAAGAAGTTAGAGAAAGTACAAAGGTTTGCAACAAGGCTAGTCCCAGAGCTCAGGGAATGTCGTACGAGGAAAGGTTGAGGGAAATCGGACTGACGACGACTGAAGGACAGGGAAAGGGGCAGGGGAGACATGATAACGACATCAAGATACTGCGGGGAATAGACAAAGTGGACAGAGATAGGATGTTCCAGAGAGGGGACACAGGGACAAGGGGTCACAAGCTGGAAGCTGAAGACTCAGACGAGTCACAGGGACGTTAGGAAGTATTTCTTCAGTCATAGAGTTTGTCAGCAAGTGGAATAGCCTAGCAAGTGAAGTAGTGGAGGCAGGAACCATACATAGTTTTAAGAAGAGGTATGACAAAGCTCAGGAAGCAGAGAGAGAGAGGATCCAGTAGCGATCAGTGAAGAGGCGGGGCCAGGAGCTGAGTCTCGACCCCTGCAACCCAATTAGGTGGAAACACACATTCCACTGAGCTTGTTGGGATAGGGGCAAGGAGCTGTAAGGGCCCGGGGACACGGGCTAGTAAATTGGAACAGAAGATGGATTTCTTTTGATCACCCGAGTGTGGGCGGGTATGGTATCATCAACAACCTTTAATCACCCATAAAATTTGAGTCAACAGGGTAAAGGGAGTAAGACACAGGGTTTTAACGTTTTGTTGGTCAGCCCCTCAGCCTCCATGTTGGGGGGCCCGACCCCTCACAATTTTGTATCGACGTTTACTGGAGAGATTTTGGGGGGTCAACCCCCCGGGGCCCCGGCTGTGACCAGGCCTCCTCTGAAAAAGCCTACTGTAGGGCGAAACGTTTCGGAAAAAAGAACCCAACTTCTGACATATGTTTTATTATCAAGGCATAATGAGTTTTCGGGTTTGGAAAAATTGCCCTCCCTTGTATGGGCCGGGGCCGCTGCAGTGTCCTCCCATGGTTTGGGTTTGAGAATGCCCTCCCTAGTTGGGCCAGAGGCCTGCTGCATCCCCCTCTGAGTTTGGGGTTTGAGATGACCTGCCTAGTTTGGGCCAGTGGGCCTGCGCAGTGCTCCCCCTCTGATTTGGGGGGTTTGGAATGACTGCCTTAGGGGCCAGTAGGCTGTGCAGTGTCCTCCTCATGAGTTTGGGGTTTGAGTTGCCCTCCCTTTTTGGGGCCAGTGGGCCTGCTGCAGTGCCCCTTCATGATTTTGGGGGGTTTGGGAAAAGCCCTGCCAGTAGGGCCCCAGTGGGCCTGCTGCAGTGCTCCTCTCATGGTTTGGGGTTTGAGAATGACCTCCCTAGTAGGGCCAGTGGGCCTCCCTGCAGTGTCCTCCTCATGAGTTTGGGGTTTGAGAATGCCCTGCCTAGTAGGGGCCAGTAGGTTGCTGCATTTGCCTCCTCTGAGTTTGGGGTTTGAAAATGACCGCCTGTAGGGGCCCAGTGGGCTGCTGCAGTGCCCTTCCTCATGGTTTGGGGTTTGAGAATGGCCCTGCCTATTTTGGGGCCCAGTGGGCCCTGCTGAGTGCCCCTCCTCATAAATTTTGGGGTTTTTGAGAATACTCCCTATTTGGGGCCCAAGGGGGCCCGCTGCAGTGCTCCTTCATGATTTTTGGGGGTTTGGATGCCTCCCTAGTAGGGGCCGGGGGCCTGTGCGTGCTCCTTCATGAGTTTGGGGTTGAGAATGACCTGCCTAGTATGGGCCAGTAGGCCTGTGCAGTGTCTCCTACATGAGTTGGGGTTTGAGAATGACGGCCTAGTATGGGCCAGTGGGCCTGCTGCAGTGTCATCCTCATGAGTTGGGGTTTGGAAGACCCTCCCCTAGTAGGCAGTGGGCCTGCTGCAGTCTCCTACTTGTCTGGGCTAAGTGGCCTGCCTAGAAATGGGCCTAGGGGCCCTGCGGGCTGTTAATTTTTGGGATAGAATGGATTCTGTTGATGCGCCGACTGTGGCTGCGGGTCCTCTGGTTTGGGGTTTGAGAAGACCTCCCGTATCACGACCTGCCAGTTGCAGTCACTCATGAGTTTGGGGTAAGACCTGAATTTTGTATGGCCAGTCCCTCAGGCCCCCCATGTTTGGGGTTGGAAGACCTCCAAGTTCTGTGGCCGCTGCAGAAGCCCTTACGGGTTTGGGGGTTTGAGATAAGACCCCTATTTCGGGGCCATTTTAGCTTCACAGGTCCTCCATGAGTTTTCGGGTTTGAGAATGACCTGCCTAGTATGGGCCAGTGGGCCTGCTGCAGTGCTCCTCCTCATGAGTTTGGGGTTTGAGAATGACCTGCCTAGTATGGGCCAGTAGGCCTGCTGCAGTGCTCCTCCTCATGAGTTTGGGGTTTGAGAATGACCTGCCTAGTATGGGCCAGTAGGCCTGCTGCAGTGCTCCTCTTCATGAGTTTGGGGTTTGAGAATGACCTGCCTAGTATGGGCCAGTAGGCCTGCTGCAGTGCTCCTCTTCATGAGTTTGGGGTTTGAGAATGACCTGCCTAGTATGGGCCAGTAGGCCTGCTGCAGTGCTCCTCTTCATGAGTTTGGGGTTTGAGAATGACCTGCCTAGTATGGGCCAGTAGGCCTGCTGCAGTGCTCCTCCACCTTCCTTATCCTCAAAATATTTTTTCCCTCTAAAATGAACACTCGACAAATGATTTTTATAGCGAAAAAATATCTCAACGTAACATATTTTTGAAAAAAAAGAGTAATATAAATGAATCAATATATTTTAATAAATCCTATAATTTAGTGTCGATTTATTATGGAAATTGGAGGGTAAATTTATTAAATTTTTTTTTTCTATCACTAGAAGGACCTGGGATAAATTTTTGCCAATTACGAAGGAAATTTCCCTACACAGAAGTAATTTCTCCCCTGCCGAGCTCCCCCCTCTCCCCATATGTCCATCCTCGCCCCTCACACTCTCCCTCATCATCACCCTCGCTCTCTTTCTCCCTCTTTATTTCTCCCTCTCCCTAACTCCCTCCTCTCTCTTCTTCTCTATTTGACCTGTTTTATCCTCCCTTAAAAATTATTCTCGTTATCTCCCTCTTTATTTCACTCTCTTCTCCATCTTTATTTCTCTCTCTCACTTCTCCCTCATTCTCTTCTCCCTTAAAATGTATTCACATTATCTGCCTTACGTCTACTTGTTGTAATATTCCTTAAGACTGGGCCAAAGGAATGGCTATGAGGCGAAAAGTGTGGCGAGAAGAATTTCTGGAAGAGAAACCTTGTATCAGTACGACGTTTCGCCCATTGTGGGCTTTATTGAGTACGTGGATGTATGGTGGAGTTGCTGTTATGTCATGTCACTTGCTGCTACATCATGTCAGTTGCTACCACATAATGTCAGTTGCTACTACGTCATGTCACTTGCTACTACGTCATGCCAGTTGCTACCATATCATGTCAGTTACTACCACATCATGTCAGTTGCTACCACATCATGTCTGTTGCTACTATGTCATGTCAAGTGCTGTCAGACATAAGGTCAAGTGTCCCCAGGCGGAGGAGAGAGATAAAATGTCAGTGTACACTCACAGGACACCTTATCTACAAAGTAGACAGACCTGACCGAGGGTGTCTCCAGGCTGCCATCATCCACCCCA